GGCTCCCTGCTCAGCAGGGAAGCCTGCTTCTCCTTCTCCCACTCCCCCTGCTTGTGTTCCCTCTCTCGCTGTGTCTGTCTCTGTCAAATAAATAAATAAAATCTTAAAAAAAAAAAAAAAAAAAAAAGAAACCCTACCTTTAGGTTGAATTGTCTTATTTTAGTATGTTTATCTTCATTATTAAAACTTGTGATGTATAATCTGTTTGTTTTCAGTACTATATACTACAACTAGTGTTTTTTTTTTATACATCTCAGGATCATTTTAGTCAAGAGAAGACATTAATTTTATTGGTAGTACTTTTATTTAGTTCTTTTGGGGGGCTTTATTAGATTCTGAATAACTTAAAAGCAATGGAATTCTTTCTGTGATAAAAATCTAGTCTTTGGGACAAAGCTTGTAGCATTTTTCACACGATACTCATGCATGTAAAGGTGTGGAATTAATATGTATGTCTAAAGAATTTATATTAAAGAGGGTGTTTTTAATTTTGAGGAAAGTATCCCTCTAAAGATTTTAACTAGATTTACATTAATTCACAGATTTGTTAATGTCTCATTTCTTCTTTTATTTTTAAAGATTTTTTTTTTTAAGATTTTATTTATTTATTTGACACAGAGAGAGACAGCAAGAGAGGGAACAGAAGCAGGGGGAGTGGGAAAGGGAGAAGCAGGCTCCTGCCGAGCAGGGAGCCCGATGCGGGGCTCGATCCCAGGACTCTGGGATCACGACCCGAGCCGAAGGCAGACGCTTAACGACTGAGCCGCCCAGGCGCCCCCCACCCCTTTCTTTAATAGGTACTTGGACTGGTGTATTTAGGCTTGCTAGAGGCAGTGAATTTTCATTTCAGTAAAACATTTAGAAAACCTTTCATGAAATCTTTGTTGGTTATAGTATGATTGCATGAACTAAAGTGCTTGATCTCGAAAAGTGTTGGTTCATAAATTATTATCTTGGAGACTATTTTTGGTGGTGGGCTACAAGATTCTTTTATTTTTTTCAGAAGATTTTATTTATTTATTTATTTATTTGACAGAGAGAGAGAGAGAGTACAAGCAGGCAGAGCGGCAGGCAGAGGGAGAGGGAGAAGCAGGCTCCCCGCCGAGCAGGGAGCCGGATGTGGGGCTGGATCCTGGATTCTGGGATCATGACTTGAGCCGAAGGCAGAGGCTTAACCGACTGAGCCACCCAGGCGCCCTTACAAGATTCTTTTCTAAGCCTGTTTTATATAATTTTATTAGACTTAGGTGGAAACAAAGAAGCCATGTTCATTAATTTCACAGATACTATAAGTTAAAAGTGATCACTAATAAGATTTCAAAATCTCAAATTATGTCTTAAAACAAGATGGAATTTAATATGGATCAAAGGCAAAAATTGGGTTTAAACGTGTAGAATTACAGAAACATAGACTATGTAAGGTGGAAGCTATGGTTTAATTATAGTCCATGTAAAATAGACTTGGATGTTTTATTCAACTCTAAGTAATACATTTGCTAAAAGAAAAACCTAACACAAGTTTGGGATACCTTACTGACAGGGTATGCTTGGATCAAGGGGCTACTGATCATTTTTTAACAAAGTTCTTAGCCCACTGTATTTGAGTGTTGTGTTCTCTTTTGAGTGCACAATTTAAGAAGGAAAAGGAAAAGTTGAAGGACATGCAAAGCAGGGTAAAAAGTGTGGTTATGACGGCTCACCATTCCATTTGACAAATAAAAGGATCTAAAAATTTTGAAAAATAGAAAAATATTAGATATTCTGACAGTAGTTTGGTTCAAATATTTCAAGGCCTGCAATGTCTGTAAAGAGTGAGATTAATTCCTTGGGGTCAGAATCAGCACCAGTGGTGTTAAGGGAAGTTGAACTGATGTTCACAAAGCAAATGATTATAGACATTTTAAGCAGACCTGGGTTTTAATTCTGGCATCAGTATTGGCTGTGGCAAAAGAGATGATACTTCTGAGCTTTACTTCCCTGTTGAATAGGGATAATAAGGCCTATCTCATTTTAAGGATTAGAAATAATACATAAAAATTGCTTAGTTCCTGACATAGGTAAAAATTGAATAATCATGATTATACATAATACCAATAAATATAAAGATTTCCAACATTGTAAAAGTTTAAGTGGATGATGGTATGATGGAAATATTGCAGAGAGGATTTCTACTTAAGATAGGGGACTGGACTGAAGGTCTATTTGAACTTTTAGCATAATGGTTTCCCCTGACTCCGTTGTGCTTTTCCTTGTCTCACAAAGCAAGCAGGTCCACTCTGTTTTAACCAAGTTTATCTTCGTTGATTTCTGAGAGTCAGTTGCCTTTAAAGAAGTTAGAACAGGAAGGGGGCGTAGCTATGACAAATGAGTGTTTTAAGAGTAAGAAAATATAACGCTCGAAGACTACAGGGCTTCTCATTTAGTGGCTCAGTGAGCTACTCATGGAGCTACTCATTACGAGGGCTGGTTAAGTTACGAGAGGGATTAAGTGAAAGAATCTCCACTACTTCAAACCACATCAGGCTCTTGGCAAGAACTACGTGAAGAACGGGATCTCAGGCAGGCTTGCGAAGCGGGTCTGGGCTTGCTGGCTGGAGCTAAGGACCGCACGGAGGCCCTTGGGTGCCACTAGTTGATGGCATGAATAGAAACAAAAAAGAGGAGAGCGACAAAATGGGGAAAATAGGTGGCAGGGCCGCGAGAAGGAAGACGAAGGTTGGCGGGTGGTTGGGCGCGGCGAGCTTTCTGCCCACGAGTTGTGCGCCAGGACCCGGGGCGCTGTAACTAGGCGCTCCCATGGCCAGGGGCATCAACCCTTGCCCGGGGGCGAATCTCCCCACACGCTCTGTTCTCCCTCCCGCGTCTCCCAGCTGCTAGTCGGTCCTGCTAGGGCACTTCTCGAAACCTGTCCGCAGCTAGGAACCTTGGCCCGACTTTGATGGCCTCGATAACTTAGCACGGCACCCTGACCTCTTTTCTCCCGCCCCTCTCCCGCCCACCCGGCCCCACCGCCCAGTACACCTCCCGCGCTGGGGTCGACCAGATACTCTGCGGCTCGGCTGCCGGCAAGACCCGGAGAGTGGAGCCAGCTCGGACCGCGTCGGGCGCGCGCGCCCGCGCCTTCTCGCTCGCTCCTAGCAGGGCTAGTGGGCATGCGCGGCGCGCGGCTGCCTTTGGCGGCGAGCGGGTGAGCGGGCGGGTAGCTCCAGACTTCACAGGCGGCGGCGGGCGCGGCGGTCTTGCCCAGCGCGAGGCCGGCGCTGTGCTCACCCCGGAGATCGCTGCTCTCCAGTCGGGCGCAGACGGCGGCTTTGCGGCTCGCGGAGGATTGGAAGGGCGTGGTCCAGGTCGGGGGCTTTCTCCTGGCCGCCTCCTGCCTCGTCCCGTCTCGAGGCGCCTCCGGGGAAAGCCACGGCCCCGAGGGCGGATCCGAGGTAAGAGCCCCTCGGGCGAAAGGCGCCGGCCGGGGGTCCAGCTGTTTGAACTCAGCCTCGATTTTTAAAAATCCGCTTTTGTGTGCTTGGATGGAGCGGTGCCAGGCACCGCGTCCGCTTTCATTCACTTTGACTGCTTTCAACTGGTGTTGGGGGCCAGGTGTGCCGGGGCGCTGCTACCGGAGCGCGTCCGTGCGCCCGGTCGTGGGGCGCCACGGAGCGGGTGCCGACCTTCGGCCGCCCAGCCGCCCGCCGAACCCGGGGCTCCGGGAGGGTGGGCAGAGAAGATTCTCCGTGTCCTTGTGATATTTCCTGGTAACCTGAGCTTCCGCACACACACCTGCGCTTATCTGGTCGGTGGGGCGACTACGGAGCCGGTATTCTCACAGCTTATTTTAGGCTTGGGGTTTCGAGAGCTACCCTCCCCACCCTCAAATGGAGGGGGTCTTTTCAGATTGGTAGTTTGGGGCAAGGTCCCACCATCGCATACCCTCTCAAATTAAGATAGCTCATTGTTTTTGAATAGTTGTCACTCCTGATTCCTGTTGACTTTCCGTTCTTAGTTTGTTCCACTTTACTCACCATTTTACTTTTGGAAGATGGCCTTTCTGGTGTCTTTGTCAATTAATGCCTTTGGAGTAGATTTCCCCATGTATGAAGACCCGGCTCGCTTCTCCTGGGGTCACTCTTCTTTCCTTTCAAGGACTATCTGTATGCAAAAATCTTTGCACGGATTGTTCTCTTCCTTTGCATTGTTTCTCAAATCCTTATTTTCCCGTAGACCCATCGTACTGCTGGAATCTCTTTGGGGGTAAGACGCCTGTGGTATTAGGATATGAAAACCAGAGACGTCTAGGGCGGTAGAGCATTAAGAATTGGAGTTCTCCTTTACAAAATATATTTTAATGAAATGTATTACTGCTTTTCTTTTGAAGGTTTCAGTTTTTGTCTCATAAGAGGAATAGGTAATATCTTAAGAGTTCAGATAAAACTTGGTTTCAGATGCATATGAACAGCTTGATTTTGGCTTTGTTATTCTTTTTTTTAAAGATTTTATTTATTTGTTTGCTGGAGAGAGAGCGAGAGAGAGTACAAGAGAGGGATTGGCAGGCAGAGGGAGAAGCACGCTCCCCGTGGAGCAAGGAGCCCGATGCGGGACTCGATCCTAGGATCCTGGGATCATGACCTGAGCCGAAGGCAGACGCCCAACCTACTGAGCCACCCAGGCGTCCCTGGCTTTGTTATTCTTTTGGGAGATAGGAGAATTAGGATTCCCAGATGACTTTATATATGTGTATGTATATGTATATATATAGTTATATTCATATACATATAGATATATATGTGTGTATACATATGTATCCATACACACACGGATATATACAGAAACAGCAAAGTAGCTGTGTTGTGTTTTGCTTCTAATTTATTTCTACTGAGAGGATACCATTCTAAAGGGACTTGGGTTTTGCAAATGTGCAGTAAATGTAGATCCTGTGGTCATTGAAATTAAAGTCAATGTTATCCTCTCTCACCTAGTATAGATTTTCAGTTTGGAATTGGAGTTTTTTGGACAGGTTCTTATAGTTCTTAAGTTGCTAGTGTGAAAAAATTTTGGTCATGAGTTCACACTTTGACTTACAATTAGAAAAATAATACACTTTATAGAATTGCCACTAAAGGGTATCACAAATGTAATAACATTTTATAGAAAGCCTTTAGTGCAGAATTCAAAGATTAAGACTTTTTAAAATTCCACAAGTCATTCACTCCACAGCAGAAAAAAAAATGAAGAAAACTTTTTTTTTTTTAAGATTTTATTTGTTTATTTGACAGAGAGAGACACAGCGAGAGAGGGAACACAAGCAGGGGGAGTGGGAGAGGGAGAAGCAGGCTTCCCGCTGAGCAGGGTGCCTGATGCGCGGCTCCATCCCAGGACCCCGGGATTATGACCTGCCGGAAGGCAGAAGTTTAATGACTGAGCCACCCAGGCGCCCCAACAAGAAAACTTTTAATTCCACTATTCTGAAATAACCACTGTTCACAATATTTGGTACATTCTCTTTGAAATATTTTTTCTTCCCACTTTCCAGTGTCATTGAATATCAATAAATAGTAATTTTCACCCTTTTATTGATGATGGGAGAATACTTGAAGTTGTATTTGGGGTGATTTTTCAGCATGGTTTATTCTGGTTTGTTCTTGGGAGTCTAATGTCTAATTTTGAACACTTTGCTTGTTTCCGATCAAATGAAAATATTTCATTTTGTTTTCATTTCTCATTTTTTCTCTTTTCAATTTTTTACCTATGCTGATACTTTTCAGTTATCAGTCCTTTAGGCTTCGTACTCTTTGCTTTCAGTTTTTATTTGACCCCAAATCCTAGACCCTTCCTTTTCTTGTGTTATGCTACATACATGTTCACTCACTGCCTTTTTTTTTTTTTCTGCTGACTCTCCTGTTTTCTTCATTTACCTATTTTAATTTTGCAAGAGCTCACTTAAACCATGGTTTGTATAAGAGAATATAGTATCCACAATAAGAGATGATGGTTTTCCTCAAGGTCTCTCTTTAGATGCTTGAAGTTTTGCTGGGTGAGTATTTTAGCACTGATTTCATTTATATAAAATTTAAGTTAGCTTTGGAGGGTTGTATTAAATAGATTTGGATCATCACAGAACAACCTAAGTTAATGACAGGTTACAAACTTTCAGACATCTGCAATGGTATGTAAGGGGAAAAGTGGAATTTTAGTTAAAGTACTTTAGCTATAGTATATCCCTGCTGGGAATTACTGCAAGAAGTTGTTTGCAGCTGTTAGTGATTGAAAATATTTTCTTAAGGAAAATTCTGTAACAACATAGTTGTCAACATTTTAACTTTAATGTATGCAGGGAAGGTGTTCAGTGCTTCACTACAGCCTCTTCAGTGATTTCTAGATACATTCTTAGACGGTATTTAAAAATATATATATATTATTTTTTAGATCAGTTTCAGATTTACAGAAAAAGTGTAAAGATAGTGCAGTGACTTTTTATATACACTGTTACCCAACTTCCTCTCTTATTACATCTTATATTAGTATTTTTTTTTAAAAGATTTTATTTATTTATTTGAGACAGAGAGAATGAGAGACAGAGAGCATGAGAGGGAGGAGGGTCAGAGGGAGAAGCAGACTCCCTGCCGAGCAGGGAGCCCAATGCGGGACTCGATCCCGGGACTCCAGGATCATGACCTGAGCCGAAGGCAGTCACTTAACCAACTGAGCCACCCAGGCGCCCCTATATTAGTATTTGTGATGATTAATGAAGCAGTATTGGTACATCATTACGAACTGAAATTCACGCTTTATTTAGCTTTCCTCAGTTTTTACCTGATGTCCTTTTTCCTGTTTCAGGGCCCTACCATCTTAGATACCACATTACACTTAGTTGTCATATCTCCTTACGGTCCTTTTGGCTGTGACAGCTTGTTAGACGTTGTTTTTGATGACCTTCACAGTTGTGAGGAGTATTGGTCATGTATTGTGTAGAATGCTCTTCAGTTGGAGTTAGTGTGACTTTGTTCTCATGGTCAGACATGGCTTTTAGTCTTTTGAAAGGAAGGTCACAGAAGTAAAATGCTGTTTTTATTACAGCATATAAAAGGTACGTTCTATGAACATGACTTTTATCACTGTTGATAATGATCTTGATCACCTGTCCGAGTTAGTGTTTGGTAGGTTTCTGCCCTGAAAAGTTACTCTTCTTCTTTCCATGCTGTACTTTTAGAAGGAAGTCACTGTGCACAGCACACATTTAAGGAGTGGATAGTTTTACTTCTCCTCCCTGAGGGTGGGGTATCTATATAGATTATTTAGAATTCTTCTGCGTGTCAGATTTTTTTTTCTCCCCATTTATGTATTTACTCAGTCATTTACTTATATTGGTCCGTACTCATGGATATACATTATATACTTTGGGTTATAATCCAGTACTACTTTATTTTGTTGCTCAAGTTGTTTCAGCTTTGGCCATTGGGAGCTCTTTCAGTTGGCTCTTGTGTCCCTTTGACATGTCTCCGTCAATGTGAGGTTTTTTTTTTTAATCATTACTTTCTGGCATTAAAAGGTGCTCCAGGGTCATCTTTTATATTTCCATTTCCTGTCCCAGTCCTAGAATCAGCTGGAAAGAATCTGTTTCATCTTCTTGGGAAATAGTATTAGAAGCCAAGATTTGGGTGCTGGGTTCTTGTTGCTACTGGGGTATCAATGCCTCTAGACCCTCTTATTTACAGAGCAGGAAACGTATGTATGTGTACAAACCCTGTATATACGCCTATCTATACATATTTCTCTATGTAATCATATGTATTCATGTTAAGCAAAATATGAATTCATATTTTGAGTCTATAACATAATATGAGTCTACAACTCTGCCTACCCCATTACCATTTGTATCGTTATGGCCTTTTCTTCTTGCTTATCTGTAAACTCATTCCAACCATGAAAAGAAATCTGGCTCCCACCATCTGTCATACATTTACTTAATTGTCAGTCCTTTTATATACTTATAGCAGTATTGAAATTGTTAACTTATATTCTCTTCAGAGAGTGGGAAACAACTTTATCAACTAGAGTACAGTTCTTATGTCCGTTCCTTTTGCTTTTAGTTTAGATTCCATTCCTTTTTCTCCTATCCCACTTAGTGAAGTAGTTGCACACAGAGATAATAGTGTCAGGGACGCCTGGGTTGCTCTGTCTTTAAGCGTCTGCCTTTGGCTCAGGTCATGGTCCCAGGGTCCTGGGATTGAGCCCCACACATCGGGCTCCCTGTTCCCTGTTCGGCGGGAAGCCTGCTTCTCCCTCTCCCACTCCCCCTGCTTGTGTTCCCTCTCTCGCTGTGTCTCTCTCTGTCAAATAAATAAATCTTCAAAAAAAAAATAGTGTCAGATCCTTTTGTTACAATTTTTATTCCATCCTGGGATCCTTCTGACCTTCTAAATGATTTTTTTTTTAAGTTTGC